CTCTTTCATATACATTTACTCTATTCAGATGACTTTAACATCCAATTTTAAATCGTAACAAAAGTCCTTTGCTTAGGTAAATCTATCTCACTCTTGTCTCTATGAGGGAACCGCCTATCATCTTCCTATCATCCTCACCTATCATCTCTCACAGATGCCCCGCTAGCGTTGGTATACGCAGTTAACGTAGACGGAGATATTATTTTATACGGTCCATTCGGCCATTGAAATAAAATAGATATACTCGTATACGAAATACATTAAAAAAACTCAATACCAAGGTTAGTTACTTATTTATTTATTTATTTATAGGATTACCAACATAAGATATACAGCTAAACATTTTAGTACAATACACTGGTAGATTAGATCTAACTGTTCTTACATTTATAGGCAACCACAGAATGCCTTGTGTTTGATAAACATTAAAATAGAATTAAATTATTAAATATCATTATACAAGTAAAAATATTAACAATATGAATAATAACATAATATAAATAATGGAAATTGTATTTAAATTATTTTAAATTATAAATAAATATAATGCAATGGCGAGGTACATCAACATTTTAATTTAGCCATGAACACAGAGTGACTATCGTTACCGTTAGAAAAGTAAAAAAAAAATTAGAAACCTTTTTTAGAAGAAACAAAGAAACAGTGCAAGGACGACATGTCACGCTAAAGGGTGTCCTCAAATAACTGTACTTACCATTAGCTCCAATATTTTAACCGCAATCAACGAATACCAAACACTTAAGCGATAAGAGAAACAGCTTTTAAAGTAATACGTTTAACTGGACAGAATGTTTAACCTTAGTGTAACTGGAGAAACCGTTAAAAACAATTGTTTTTCCAAAGATATACTGCACAGAGAATCTCAGCCCATAATGTTTTTTCACGTGAGAAATTTTTCACATTCATAACTCAAAATTATTATTTTTTATACAAATTAGAATGGCATGAAAGTGGTAACCGTCGCCTATAGACATGAGCAGTACCATGGACATAACAGAGTATACTGATTCGCCCATGATACCCCCCATTCTTTACCATTCCTGAGGACTCAGGTGTTATTCCTCTGTACCCAGTAAATTCACGGCATATAGGCAAACCGAAACACAGCCATGCAAACACAACTGCTATACAGTTGAAACACGAATGGGACAGAGGTACCCAAGCAATCGACTTTTGTACAATGTCTTCATTAATTTTACTCTTATTTTCGCGAGAATTTTTAAATTAAAAAGTAAAAGGGAAAAAAAGTTAATTTAAAAAATATGAAAATAAAATGTTTGTTAACTTCATAACCAAACACAGTGAAATTTGTTATACACTTACTATATATGATGGAGAAAGATATATACTTTATGTTCCAACCAGTAAACATATTCCTGTCACGCGGACGAAGTCGCGAATAAAAGCTAGTATTGTGTAGTCTCCAGAAACGACTTGTATTTCAGTCAAGTTATGAAAATTAATGAAACAAGAAAAGGATATAGACAAAAACAGAAATATATGCTATGCTATTATTCTTAATCCTGATTTAAACCTCAACTAAATAGTAAAAGTTTATTCCTTGTTTTGAGCTATTTTTAAATAAAACTTTAAAGTTTAATATCATCTTATACAAAATTGTCATAAAAACAATTATTAAATAAGCTACATAACGAGAGAAAGTACTCGTAAGTACCGTGGTAAATGTTATCAAACGCCATGATATTAAATCAAACGGTTGAGAGTCCCATAACCATAAGCTCCCACGTTTATTCTAGAGATATGAATCCTAAACAGGATGAATATAAACATTATAGTTTCCGGAACTGTTTTATCTTAACAAAGTTTGACTACCAACTATTAAATATTTGTAAACTTTATGGACTATAGAAATAACTAGAGTTAAAGTTAAAAAAAGATGCTGTTATAGATATTTTAAACTACTACTACTACTACGCTAGAGAGGCACCAGTGAGATATGATAGGTGAGGATGACGCAGGTCAGTTGGTCCATCGTTATGAATTCATCAAAAATTAGCTACGATGATTTCCAGGGGGGACCGCGTGAAGGTTGGCTTGACTAGATATATTTCTAATAATGGGACCGTTAGTCTCCTTTACTAACAATTCCTTCTCTCGACATGTATTCATACCTACCATCGACTCTCCTATAATAATACTCAAAAATCCTTCAAGGTTTATACCATAAACAAATTCCTACGGCAGGCAATAAATAAATCACTTGACATATTTATATTTAACTACAATTTCGGAATGATTAAAATAAAGCAGCTTCTTAGAACAAACCAGTTATCCTTTTTCTCAGAGAAATACCAATCAGTGATTTGTTATACTGGTACCAATTCTTATTAGTCGTTAATGTTTATAGATCGTAAATGAAATGTTGAACAAAAACTTATGAAATATTGCTTGAGAGTGTCTTGGTACCAATATGGTACCAAATAAGGTTTCGGTTTCGATTCTCAGTCTTACTAATTTGGAAAAAAAACTATTTTACTGGCTTGTATAACGAAAAGATTAGTAGCTAAAGGATCGAATAACTGGTGTAATTATAAAACTACACCTAATTATGTAAAGCAATGTTACATAGACAAAGGAGTCACACAAAAGTATATTTTTTTTAACAAGTATGAAAAAAATAATTTTTGATTCACAATAACTAAATGGTAGAAATTAAATTAATATATATAAAAGGTATTCAAAATTTTAATACATATTTTAAATAACTTAGTTTTTTTTTACCACCAATAAGTTAAAAAAACAAAAGAATACGACGTATGAATGACTAACAAGAATGGCTTGTAATAATAATTTATCAAAAGAATTTAATAACCATAAATTTAACTTTTATTTTTTCAAAGAGGTGACCATAAACTCATCAATTACTTATTACCGCTACAAATACAAAAGTAAGGGGAAAAGAGATTGTTTAAATGGGGATCATCTCGACCTATCTATCAAGTTAACCTCCACGCAGTCCCCTTGGAAACTATCTTCTGGAATTCGTCATGATGGGCTAACTAATCTGCTTTCATTCACACCTACCTTCCCTAGCTTCGCCAGCATACACTTATAAACGCAGGCATGGTTACCAGCTAAAAATACAAACTTAAGTCATTGAGTACAATTGCAGTTCGACAATAAAACAACCGAATTGTAAATGATGCGTCATCTCTAATATAAATTACCAGAGGGAGACTTTGTACAAAAGTCGATTGCTTGGGTACCTCTGTCCCATTCGTGTTTCTACCGTGAAGCAGTTGTGTTTGCATGGCTGTGTTTCGGTTTGAAGGGTGGGATATGGCAGTGAATTTACAAGGTACAGAGGAATAACATCCGAGTCCTCAAGGAATGGCAACGCATGGGGAGTATTATGGGTGAAACAGTATACTCGTACTCTGTCTCTGTTATGTCCATGGTACTGCTCATGTCTGAAGGCGACGGTTACCACTTTCCATTAGGTGGACTGTCAGCTTGTTTGCCATTCTAAGTTGTATAAAAAAAAAACATTTCTTTAGTTTAAACCATTTATCTAATTGTAAAAGCCTTGATAGACGCAAATTACTGTTTCTACAACCAAAAATTCTTTTTTGTGATAAGTAACTAATATATTGTCTTTAAATTATATATTAATAATGTAATACGTATAAATTTTACCACAAGGAAAGAAGAGGTACATATTTTAACAAGTTGAGTCAACATAAATGTCGAAATATTATTTCACTGCCGGATCACGGATGTGCCAATAAGAACACAAAAAAAGATCGGAATGCTAAAAGAGTTTTGGAATATACTATCCATAATGTTTTTCATTTTGAATCATACAGGAAAATCTTACTGCAACATCAAAATCATAACGTGGTTGATTATTTTACCTAAATATCTATAAAAGTGGCCGTGTGGTCCCGGCCATAGAATAGGCCACCCCTTCCTTTTCCGTGAGTGTCGTAAGAGGCGACTAAGGGAACTTAATGGTCGAAGGATACTAACCAAAAGGTAACCACGGTTACTAACCCGACTGCCAAGCGTGAACACTACTGACAAGGGAAAGGGGAAGCGGGAGGCCTACCCCTTTCCCCTTATGCGTAGTTATGTCCGTTCAGCAGTGAGCATTTAATGGCTGGTATGATGATGATGATCCATATTTCCCAAAGAGGGTTTCTTTTTTGATGGGTGAAAATGGTATGGTAACCCCGCCTGCGCTAACGGGATACGCTGGCGGAGCACCAGTGAAGGGTGATAGATGAGAATGAAAACAGGTCAGTTAGCCCATCATGATGAATTCATCAGGAATTAACCATGATAGTTGCCAGGGGGAACCGCGTGGAGGTCGACCTTATTAGGTATACTGCTAGCAATGGGATTCTCAGTCTCCATTACTAACAATCCGTTTCTCCCCCTCCCAAAGAGGATTGACGTCAGGCAAGCGGCCGGTCGTAAAACTAAAAGCCAAATCTTTTTGTAATATAGATAAAAACATTACGCCGACCCCAAATAATAATTAGGATAAGGGTAGGAAGATAATGATGATGATGGATGATGATGATGATCCATAAGAGTATTATACTTTGATTATTTAATAGTTGATTAAATTAATCTGAATAATGATAACAAGCTAATTTGAAAATATGTTATTCGGCTCATTAAAATAACATTACAAAGGTATTAGTTACCCAAACGATAATATTATGAATATTTCATCGTGATACTCCTGGTATTTAGGGCAATTTGTACAAATTCAACAAACTCAGAAAGACAGTGAAAAATAACCACAGCATAAATAGCATACTGTTTGTGTTTAACTAATTTACAGCATGCTAGTTTTGAAACGGAGTTATTGTTATTTATGTTTTGAAAGAATTTTCATTTTGTGTTAAAATTACTTTTCTCAGACAACATTTGTGTTGCGTATTTTACCATATTACTGGCATGAAGGGATTCGATATTCAAATAAAAATCGTCACTTCTCTTGTCCCCAGTTTGTGCAGTATGCATCTTGCTCGAGGTGGGTGCACTGCCGAGCCGGCGCAGCGGGTTCATGTGCCACGACCCGGCGCTCTCGTTCGCATACACCGGCGACACCTTCTCCATCTCGCTGGTCGTCGCCGTCACTATTATCGTTCCATTTATTGTTGTAAGTATTATTTTTATAAACTTTTCCCTTTTCAAAATAGAAAGAGACTGCAGAATTACACTTATTTCTTAATTTGCGTTGCTTATTTTTATTTATTTACTTATTTATATGTTTTTGTCTATTCACTTATAGATATTAGGTTATAACATAAATGTACATAGACGGACTTATCCCTTAAAGAGATTTCTTCCAGTCAACCATGAGAACACGAAAGGAGAAAGTATTTATAGGGTTTGTATATAAAACATAACATATATAGTGCAAAAATAATAATATAAATAATAAATTATAATATTAGTTGTTATATAGTTTAATAACAGAGCATATTTATTTCGCCGTTTGTGCCTCAGTATAGAATAGGCCACCCCTTCGTTTTCCATGGGTGTCGTAAGAGTCGACTAAGCGAGGGATGAGCAGCAGCGTCCCTCTAAAACATGTCTAAAAGCCTAACTGCGGTTGCCAACCCACCTACCAAGCGTGGCAACTACTGGTAAAAGAAGGGAAAGGGATTGTTAGTAATGGAGACTGAGAATCCCATTGCTAGCAATATACCCAACCAGGTCGACCTCCTCGCGGTTCCCCTTGGAAACTATCATGGTTAATTCCTGATGAATTCATCATGATGGGCTAACTGGCCTGTTTTCATTCTCATCTCATCTCCCGTCACTGGTGCTCCGCCAGCGTATCCCGTTAGCGCAAGGCGGGGTTAACATAGCATTTTCACCCATCAAAAAAAATATGATTTATAAATGACTAGTTATATCTCCCAACCTTGTCTTCGTAAATTACCATAAAATTAACCTATTTTTTAATCCAGTTCTACTCATCTTTGTATCTAATCTCATTGAAATCCGATAAGCTGTTTAAACGAGATTGAGTAACAAACATACTTACAAACTTTCACGTCTTTAATATTAATAGAATAGGATTAGTATAATCTATTCTTGCCTAGATAAAATATTGTTGCATGTCCTATATACATACTACATATGAATATCACTTTAGAGTTCTGGGTTCGATGACATCGAGCACAGCTTTCAATTGTGGTTCTACAACCTTCCAGACAAATTATGTAAGACGTGTATGATACCAGAGGGAGACTTTGAAAAGTCGTTTGCTTGGGTACCTCTGTCACACTCGTGTTTTAACCGTGAAGCAGTTGTTTGCATGGATGTGTTTCAGTTTGAAGGGTGGGATATGGCAGTGAATTTACAGGGTACAGAGGAATAACATCTGAGTGCTCAAGAATGGCAACGCATGGAGGGTATCATGGGCGAAATAGTATACTCTGTTATGTCCATGGTACTGCTCATGTCTATAGGCGACGGTTACCACTTTCCATCAGGTGGGCCGTCAGCTTGTTTACCATTCTAAGTTACATAAAAAATACTTAATGTATCTTAAAGAAAAGATTCAAGAAAATTATTTATTTGTGAAGCATATGTTTAAATACAAGCAGATGTTTACAATGCAGTCTTGTTCTTGTTTAGCCTATACGGCATACAAAAATATGTGTGTATAGATACACAGACATTTAAAAACTACATCGTCGTCATATCAGCCTTTAACCGTCCACTGCTGAACATAAGACACCCCCATGGGGGGTTTTACTAGTAGTTGCCATGCGTGGCAAGCGGATTGCCAACCGCAGTTAGGCTTTAAAGATGTTTTAAGATGCTGCTGCCCATCCCTCGCCTTCCCTTAGTCGATTCTTACGACACCCAAAATTACATATACAGGTCAATTTTATATAATAAATCATCACTATATTCAGATTTTAAATACATCTATATAAAAAAAAATATCACCCAAAAATAATAGAACGATAGATGAGATAATTAAATAATGTTAATAAATATAAATAAATATTCGTTTTGTCACATTTTATCGTTCATGAATTCACATACATTGTAATAGCATTTATCTTAAACATAGACTTTGATTCCTCCTATCAGCCTTTAACTGTCCACTGCTGAACATCAACCTCCCCTTTGGAGGGTTTTGCCAGTAGTTAGTTAGACTTGGGAGATGTTTTAAGAGGGACGCTACTGCTCATCCCTCGACCTCCCTTAATCGCCTGTTACAACACCCGGAGGAAAGAAAGGAGTAACCTAAATGGCTAAATTTTTATTCGATTATACTAAATTAAAAGCAAACTAAGATAACCTACTGCTTACTTTTCTAATTTTTATCATCAAAGCCGACTATAAATTTTTCTCTATTTTTGCAACAACATTTCTTTTATTATACAAAAGTAAAATATAGTTATTTAATTACATCAACAAGAAAACTAGCTCGCGACGTTAGAAATAAACAAAACTTCATTCCATTTCAACACTGGAAGCAATCACACTGCGCCACTTAACCCGATCTTCGACTTTCTGCATCCAATCACTGCCGGCCTCAATTAATTATCCATTAACATGTACACTGAAGTGCTACAGCGTGTTAATGGAGCGGTGCATGTTGTCAGATATTTTCTAGACCAGTGTCTCCCAACCTTTTTTTGTGCCATGTCCCACTTGAACATTTCTAAAATTTTTATGCCCCCATACATAAATTTTCCCGACAAAGTTTACTTGACGACTCTAATCGCCCTGTTGATATTTTGGTAATATCAAACGAAATTATACCTAATAAATATTTATAGCATTTTTTTAATTTACTTTTTTTTGTTAAATTTGGCACCGATATCTACTCGTAGCATTGCATTTAAATGACCTAGAGGAAGAGGATTAAAATCACTTCGAGTCCATTTTTTATTGCCCCTCCCACCTCCCGCCCCTTAACTGTCAAAGTCAACTGCCCCCCTATGGGGCGTGGGCCCCACGTTGGGAAACACCGGTCTAGACCGTAAATATAAATGATAACACATTTGTAATCATACAAATATATTCTTTCAACCAACTTCAAATGGGAGGTTCCCAATTCGACTGTAGTTTTTTTTTATAGTTGCGTCAGTTTTAAACTAATTAAGATTTTTTTATCTGTAACTTTACTTACAGATTACTTACCCATAGAAATTCTATCAGTTTAATTTTTAGATCAAAATAGTTGGTTTTGTCACAATTTTTTTTGTGAGACAATCTTTAATTATCATATATAAATTTTGCATTTTTTTCTGTTTTGAGGAAATAATCAGCTGTTAATACTGTGACTAGTAATTTGGACATTTATTACTTACAAATATTGTTTATCAAAAAGTTTTTTTTTTAATTTAAATATAAAAGTTTAAATAGCACAAATGAAAATAATGAATAAAAGGAAATAGTTGCATCATAATTACCTATTCAATTTGCATGTTTTCACTTTTAATTAACTGAAATATACTCCACTCCACTAAAATAGTTGTTAGGCACACTACTATTTCTGGAGAGTTACTTTCTAAGCCATTTGTAGTATCTCGTATTCAATTCTTGAATGTTACATTCAATTTGCATCCGATAGATGCAAGGAATACCTAAATAGTGGAATGGTATAGGTAGGTAGATAGGTTGGTAGGACAACTTACAACTTCAATAAATTAATAATTAAATATATACATAATTAATATGATCTGTACCCGACCCAAAGATCGCCATGAAATTTGCAGCATTTTCGCATTGGATTGCCAGAGATATCCTTTGAGTCAGATACGAACCGGAACGGCGATTATGGCCCCTATCCACAATGCGCTGACCCAACTCCCTTTCCCTTTTAAAGGATTTCGCTTCCGCTCCCCACACGCCCGTAGTCTCAAAGCAACGGCAACGAAGATGTAAGCTAGTTCGAGAATCTTATATTTTACATGTTTAAACCACATGAATCGTATTCGTATCCCGCAGATGAGACACAGCAAAGGTGTTTACGCAAATTGCATCCCATAATAAACAGCGCCCTCACTTCCAAGGGACCAAAGTCAAACCATCAGGCCGTTTCCCATCCATCCATCCATCCCATTATAAGATTTTTGAGGCTTTCCTTTAAATATAATACTTCAGCAAACGTGCTAAGATTGCGTCGATGTGTTCGAAGGAAAATAAATCTTTCTCTCTTTCAAATACAATGAATTCTGCATTTATTGCATCAGAGCATGCGCTCTGATGCAATAAATCAATCCGTTTCATAATATTTACGTCCAATATTCTGCACATAAGTTAAATTTTGATAGTCAGTTGACACTGTTATCTTGGGTGATAAATTGAAATACATTATAGAAACATCACTATAAAACTTATTCTACGTATGTTTGAGTGATGATGATGATGATACAGCTGTTGTGCACTGATGAACATAGGCCTCCTCCTTGAGAAGTTTTACTAGTAGTCGCCATGCTTCGCAGATGGGTTGGCAATCGCAGTTAGGCTTTTGGTGATGTTATAAGGGGGCTGCTGGCCATCCCTCAACCCTTAGTCATCTCTTATTACATACACGGGAAAGGAAGGGGTATTCCATGTCACGATCGTACGACCAGTTTATGTTTGAGTAATCCACAATATTTCTAATAAATTGTAATGTTGTAGTATAGATTCATACACTTCATTTAAAATAACTGTCAAAATCAGCGTTTAACCCACATGGGTTAAACGCTGATGTATGTATTAGTATGTTACTAAGAAAAACTTTTTCGCAAATGTTGAAGTCGAAAAGAGAACTTGATATTAAAACATAAAAAAATGGTACATGTGTACAATATTTTTTTTTCGACATTTTATAGTGAGATTTATGACGAACTAGCCACCCATCCCGACCTCGCATGGATTGTAAAGCATATATGCTTGCATTTTTTGCATAAGTTTGTTACGGCAAGTATGAATTAGATAAGCATAGTAAGCTATCCTTAAAGGATAGACATATGCCATTGCAGATTTTTTTGTACACCTATATGTTAAAAGAGAAACAATCTCACCATACATTGTTTTGATATATCCTAAACGGATTAGGCAGCGTTTTCGATGAAAATTGACTTGAATTCTTCCAACATTTCAAAATCTCAAAAAAAATCCGTTCGTAACCAGGACGGGTAACTAGTCACTTATAAAATTATGTAAATTAGTTAAACACTTATTTGAATCTGTTAATTAACTTACAATGCAAACAAGCCGAAATAACTTTAAACATAACTAACTGCCTCATTCTAAATAAATTCTTGTAGCGATGTTCCGTGTTTGTGATGCTAATTCCAGTAAATCGCGGCCTAATGAAGCAAATCGAAACAATAGCGGAAAATCTTTTGCAAATATTGTTTGTTGTTTCACTAAGTACTGACGTAGGTTTTTAAACGATGTCTCTATATGTCTGCCAGTTTGTTATTTCCACGCGGCTTCGTCTGCCCGAACCCGTTTCACCAATAATTATGAAAACGTAATCATAACCATGATTACGTCTTTAAGACTTTTTCCTTATTATTTGAAGACCACACACATGTTTTTGGCTTCCATTCTGAACTTACAGTCTTCTCTCGTCGTTATCATTTACCAGAGGAAGACTTTGTACAAAAGTCGTTTGCTTAGGCACCTCTATCCCATTCGTGTTTTAACCGTGAAACAGTTGTGTTTACATGGCTGTGTTTTGATTTGAAGGGTGGGATATGGCGTGAATTTACAGAGTACAGAAGAATAACACCTGAGTCCTCAGGAATGGTAACGTATGGGGGGGTATATGGGCAAAACAGTATACACTGTTATGTCCATAGGCGACGGTTACTACTTTCCATTTGGGCCGTCAGCTTGTTTGCCATTCTAAGTTGCATAGAAAAAAATCATCAACATATCAGCTGTTTACTGCCCTCTGCTGGATATAAGCCTCTCCCATAAGGGATGGTTGCCAGTAGTTGGCAGGCTTGACACAGGGGTTCGCAGTTAGGCTTTAGTGACGTTTTAGGAAGGACGCTACTGCCCATCCCTTGACATTAAGTTCTTTTGTTTTTGCGTGGCCTATATGTTTAAATTTTGTCTACTGTTGCTATTTGTTTATCTATTTCTATTGCTAATCTATTTATTACCTTTATTATTACCTTTTTATTATATTGTTTTATTAGTAAATTAGGTAGTTTAAAATAATTAGATTATAGACAAACCACGTTCCTTTCAGATGTGGGCCGTGGAGACCATCCACCATCGTCACGACGAATATAATATGAAGACCAACAAGCTCGTCGCCAGCGCCAAGACAGCCGGCCTAATATACAGGGACTACATCTACGGTGCAGTAGTGGTATTCACTATACTCGAAGTGGTCAAGTGTGTGATCGGCTCCCCAAGACCTACGTTCTTCGATTTATGCGAGCCTGACGCAGAGAAGACGTGTAAACAGTAAGTGATATTTAGTTACTAGCTGACAAGGAATGAGTAGCAGCGACGCCCGTAAAACATAACTAAAACCTAACTGTAGTTACCAATCCGCCTACCAAACGCGCCAACTACTGACAAAGCCCATCCTAGAAAGAGGCCTATGTACAGCAGTGGACAGTTAACGGCTGTGGCTAAAAGCACACGGTTTTGCCCACTACCGCCACCTACCAAATAATTTCAGTAAAATCATTAGAGTAATTTTGGAATTTAATGTGAACAAATATCGTGACACGATATAGGAAAGAAAAAAATTTAAATAGTTTTATTTGATTAAAAATATACATAATTGTAGTTTACAACAGACCTATGTATTACGTAATTAATATTAAAAATAAAGTAAATTATTTTAAATATTAAATAAATCCATTCTTCTAATTTTTCAAATTTAAAATAAAGGTCATTTTGACCTTATTCTTTGTCATATTATGTAAACGAATATAATGTTTTATCATTCTAAACTCATAAAAATTTTAAAAAAATATGTTAAAACATGAGGCCGATAAAGAGACACTTAGTAAACTCACATAACATTTAAGATGAACAGACAGAGAGGTTATCTATAGTTGTCACAATGATAATATTGTATTTTTAAAAGATAATGGAATTAAAGATATCTTAGTAGTTATTTTGATATGCAGTATCATTTCTTTAAATATAAACAACTTGAAGTATAATCATTAATATTGTATCATTAACTTATCAAAGGTTCTCGAGAGGAGATTATTATAACGATTGGACAGTCTTTTGTATCCTTTCTCATAAATTATTTTACTTTTATCTTTATTTCTGTGCCTCTGGGTCTTAGTGCAATGAACAAAATGAAAAAAAAAAATCCTTATTCGGCACACCAACTCCAATTTGTTTTACAAAAGCAGACTGATATTTAGAATTTAAAATCTTATTTTACTTATAAAATTGTAAGTGAACGATAAATGCCAAAATAATAACTTTTAGAAAATTTCTCTGTTTATATATTTATTCCAGTATCACGCTAAAACTACTGATGGTAATTTGTTTTATCCTGATATGTCATCAAATCATCATATCAGCCTTTAACTGTCTACTGCTGAACATAAACCTTCCTCTTGAGGGAGTTTGCCAGTAGCTGCCATGCTTGGCAGGCAGGTTGACAACTGCAGTCAGGCTTTAAAGATATTTTAAGAGGGACGCTGTTGCCATTCCTTGCCCTCCCTTAGTCGATTTTTACGACACCCACGAGAAAGGAAGGGATGGCATATTCTATGCCGGGACTACTTTGTTAATTTGTTAAATCACCAATTTGGTAAATTAATTACCAGTTATAATTATGAATCTCAAATTTGTGTCTCATAAATATCTTCATTCAACAGTTCGGAGTTTGTGACCAGCTACACGTGTACTTCTACGAAGTACTCGAGGTACTTGAAGATCGATTCCGCCAGAAGTTTTCCATCTGCTCATGCAACTATGTCTATATACTGCGGACTGTTTGTCGCTGTAAGTATATTATAATAGAAGTATATTATAGTAGAACAGAGGGAAAAGGCATTGTTAGTAATGGGGACTAACGCCTCTATTATAGTACATAGTGGAACAGAGAGAAAAGGAATTGTTAGTAATGAGGACTAACGACCCTATTATAATAGTACATAGTGGAACAGAGGGGAAACGCATTGTTAGTAATGGGGACTAACGCCTCTATATTACATAGTACATAGTGGAACAGAGTAGAAAGGAATTGTTAGTAATGGAGACTAACGGTCCTATTATAGTACATAGTAGAACAGAGGGAAAAGGCATTGTTAGTAGTGGAGACTAACACCTTTATAGTGGAATAGAGAGAAAAGGAATTGTTAGTAATGGGAAATAACAGCTCTAGCAGGCTAGCAATATACCTATTAGATCGACTCATGCAGTTCCACCTGGAAATCTTAGTTTATGAATAATATAATTGAATTCATTATAACGGACCAATCATCCCTCATTGGTGCTAACGTATACCAATAGCGCAGACGAGGTTACCATTCAATTATCATCAATTAAAAAAAGTATATAGTAAAACACCATAACGTTGCAGGATCCAGGGCAATTATTTGATCAACTATAGAGTCTAGTATAAATCATAACCAAATTAGGCTGTTTTCTGCTCAAATATTTGTTTTATGTCTCTCCACACAGATCTATATTTCTACTATACTACAGACAGATAGTGTCCAGAGTCTAATGCAGTTTGTATAAAAAACAAAGACGATGGCTCCTCTAAAATAAAATTATCTCTGTAGACATACTAACCAGTTACCTTATTTAAAAGTGTAACTTATTACTTCTTGGCGTTTTGACGGCCCAACCAATCATCATTAAGTTTGGCATACACGTAATATTTGGGTTGGAAAAGTACGTAGGTTACTCTTTATTGCGGACAGAGTTATAGGCATAACAAGTATTACATAATTTATTATGTTACCCAAGAGATTTATCGAGCAAAAATAAATGAAGATGCCGGTGGGGGCCGCCGTAGACGGACGTATGTCCACCAAATAGGCGACGTGCTGAAGAAGGGCCAAATTAAAAGTATCCGTAACCGGCTAGCGTGTATGAAAAGATTGATGAATGTGGAAGAAGCGAGAGAGGTTTGTTTAAATCGAAGCATTTTGTGTTCTATTGTTTCTGCCTACCCTAATGGGAGACAGGCGTGACAGATATGTATGTATGTATTATCCATTTCTTCAGGTGTAGGTAACTCATCTACCTTAGAATTATGTAGCATATGGTAAGAGAAATGTGTAGCTTACCGACTAATTGCTGATCGTCAAGATGTTCAAATCTTTATTTCTTGCAGTGGTACCTCCAGAGGCGAGCGTTTAGCTGGCACAACCGCTCAGTGCTGATTGTGCCGCTGGTGCAGACCATCTGCCTAGTTTACGCCGCAGTCTGCACCCTCAGCAGACTCACGGACCACCGCCACCACTGGTGGGATGTGCTGGTTGGCGGCTTGATGGGACTCCTCGCCGTACTATATACGGTAAGTCTCCCTTTCTTTCTCTTACACACTCACTTTCACTATCTCTTATTCGCTCTCTCTAACTTATTTTCTATTTATTATATATTATTATTGGCAGAACTTATATATATAAGCAGAATTTATATATTAGTATTGGCAGAACTTTACAATTTGTAAAATCTAAATTACGCGTAAGTGAATCCGGTCATTATTACATTAAAATATAATGTGTACTTACTAAACTTTAAACAATGAACACTTTTATTTAAAAAAAGCAACAGTTGAATTGAGTTTTCTTGGATTTTTTTTGATGGGTGAAAATGGTATGGTAACCTACGCTAACGGGATTCGCTGGCGGAGCACCAGTGAAAGGTGATAGGTGAGAATAAAAACAGGCCAGTTAGTCCATCATGATGAATTCATCAGGAATTAAGTACGATAATTTCCAGGACGAACCGCAAGGAGGTCGACCTGGTCGGGTATATTGCTAGCTATAGGATTCTCAGTTTCCATTACTAACAATCCCTTTCCCCCCATTGTATACCGTTAGCATACCATCCCTTTCCCCCAGTTTACTTGGATAAAAAAATATTCTAATATATATATATATATATATTCTTATAAAAAACATATTAAAATCAGTTGCAATCTTTACATTAGAAGAAATAAGCGGAGATACAAGTAGGTAGATAGCAATTTTATTTTATACTATTCAAATAAGAGTCCCTTAATGATTTGAAGAAGAGAAACGGATTATGGAAAGAAGATAAATGGATGACAACGGATGGATACATCATGAATGAATGGACATCATCGTCATATCTCAGTTGTCTACTGTCCAATGCTGAACATGTCCAAAGGAGGGGGGGGGGGGGAGTAATTATCACGCTTGACAGGCAGGTTGAAAACCGTAAGTTAGGCTTTGGTGACGTTTTAAGAGGGACGCTGCTGCACATCCTTCGATTATTAAGTTCCTTCAATCACATCTTACAATACCCACGAGAAAGGAAGGGGTGGCCTATTCTATTTTTTTTATACAACTTAGAATGGCAAACAAGCTGACGGCCCACCTGATGGAAAGTAGCAACCGTCGCCTATAGACATGAGCAGTACCATGGACATAACAGAGTATACTGTTTCGTCCATGATACCCCCAATGCGTTGCCATTCCTGAGGACTCAGGTGTTATTCCTCTGTACCCAGTAAATTCACGCCATATCTATGCCGAGACTACACGGCAAACGATGATAAATAGATTGCAAGTTGACAATTAGCTGTTGGCACTTTCATAATAACAGACGGTAAGCATTTGTCGCCGTTGATCGTGACTGTGAACGAAATGATGATAATTTAAGTACTTCATCATCTAAACGAGAATTATAGAACTAGTCAACAAGTATTAAGTAAATGAAAACTTGACTCTCTTCTAATGTATTTATATCACAGTGTAAATAAAAACAAGTAATCGTTTTTATCTCTTTGAACTAATTTGTTTGCTGAATCCTTAATATTTATTTGGTAATTTCTCATCAATGTTACATAATAAATAATATAAATACATATATTTATATTATTATATGTATCACAACTCCCACAGAATAGAATAGAATAGAAAATCATTTATTCAAATAAACTTACATTGAAGCACTTTTGAATAGTCATTACATTTTTTTTTTAATCTACCGCTCGTTCGGAAAGCTGTCTCATCACAAGAAGAACGAGCAAGAAACTTGCGTGTTGCTCTTTTAAATAATTTTATTATTACTTTACATTTTTAAGTTTAAATATATCTAGAACTAACAGAATTTTTCATCGTGCCTCCCACCAAATTGTTTATAATTAGATAGATAGATATATAGATAGATAGATAATTTATTTGCATTACTTACAGCACACATATCACAACATATATTGATATACATAAAAAGCGAGATAACATAAATGATTAAAACAAAATACATAAAGCTAAATAGAATTTTTCGTTTGTGCGTGTGCCATAACAATACAAAATGGTCACAACTCAGTTTATTGCATCGCCCTCAAAAGAGCAAAGCACTGATATTCTGTTGCGGCCAAAGTGAAAAGGGTAACAATAATACAATACTACCAGATTATCCATACAGTAAATAGACAGATATACAATAAACAGAGATATGACAGTTTATCTCCATCCAAAGGTTGCCTGGAAGAGATCGCTCTTAGCGATAAGGTCGCCCATTGTTTTCTCATTGTGATTATTCCTTGTAATTATTTACATTTATAATAAATTTACTATTGTAATATTTTGGAGGAAAATTTTTTTGTAATAAAGAGTATTTATCTATCTATCTATAATGAGGTGACTTTGGGGGGAGACGGTTTGTTGGTATTGGGCACGTTAATCCCCTTTGCTAGCAATATACACTATTAGGTTGACTTCCACGCGATTCCCCCTGGAAGTCATCGTGATTAATTCTTGTTGAATCTGTCGTAATAGGCTAACGGACCAGCATTCATCCTCACCTATCACCACTCACTGGTGCTCCGCCAGCGTATACCGATAACGCACACGGTGTTACCATACCATTATCATTCATTATTATTATTATCCGGGGTGATCTCATGACTTCATTTAGTCCACTTGGTATTTGTTTTGTTATTAAAGACACTTGTCTGTCAACTCATTTGTTTAATGTGTCCGAACATAATTCAAACATTAGTGAATGTAAAGAATCCATGTGCAAATATTTATCGTGTGTATTGACAGTAAGTCTGGAATGTGTTTAGTGATTTTAAACTATAGTGAATAACTAGTAATAAGTCTCTAATGTCTGAGCTATAGTTATGGTTTAGTGTTATTTTTATTTGACGACAAAAGAGTAGGTTTTTAATTTAATCGTTTCTTTTTCTTTATGACACTTAAAATAGCAAACAAGCTGACGGCCCACCTGATGAAAAATAGCAATCGTCGCCTATAGACATGAGCAGTACCATGGACATGTACACATAACAGAGTATACTGTTTCGCCCATAATACCCGCCATGCGTTGCCATTCCTGAGGACTCAGTTATTTCTCTGTACCCTGAAAATTCACTGCCATATCCCGCCCTTCAAACCGAAACACAGCCATGCAAACACAACTGCTTCACGGTAGAAACACGAATGGGACAGAGGTACCCAAGCAAACAACTTTTGTACAATATCTCCCTCTAGTAAATGAGAAACAGATGTAAACTTTATTAAATAATACGGAAAAAACCCGCGCGAAAATAATCTTATCGTCAAGTACCTATATGCGAATATTATTCCGCGTTCAATATTCTAATAAATCAAATAACACTATTAACTCAAATAATACAATAATTAAAGTAACAATTAGTCCATTACCCTAAGGTTGCCTTGAAAAGATTGCTCTCAGCAATCAGACCGCCTTACTGTACTTATATAATTGTATCGTTGTTTTTGTAAATTATTTTGCTTATCCCCTGTACTGTATAATGCAAATAAAGTATACTCATTCATACTCATTCATTGATACTTTTTAACCGGTTAAAACAGTTTTTTAAGTCAATACATTTAAGCGGTTACAAGTTCGACAGTAATGTATTTAATTAACTGTCCACTGGTGAACATAGTCTACATAAGGAGAGATTTGCCAGTAGTTGCCACGCTTGGCAGGCGGGTTGGCAACCGCAGATTTAGTGATGTTTTAAAAGGGATGCTGCTGCCCATCCCTCGATTACTAAATCATCACTATACCTATGATGAATTATTAGAAACACTTGCACAAGACTGATCTACAAAATCATCAATTATGATGACAAAGAATGTTTTTTATTTCTTTTACAAGTATGTACCAATAGCTAATGTTATTTGTGTGCTGTAAATGATGCAAATAAATTATGTATCTATTATATATATCTTAAGTCATTTATCTATTTATTCATTAGTACATATATGTGTACATGGCGGACTTAATGTTAAAAGCAATCTCTCCCAGTCAATCTTAGGAAAGTGTCAGAATACACGAATGCGGTACTACTAATATAATTTTCCTTATTCCTTTCATTTAAGAGTTTCCTCTTGTCGGTGCAACTAATTCATGCACCTTCTTCCAGCCAATTCTATCCCAGGACATATCCTTGACCTCCCTATACAACATGACACACAGTGTTTCTTTTATCTGTCCCATGTAGTTATTCCTCGGTCTTCCTCGTCCTCTTTTGCCCTCTATTTTTCCTTCTACTATGCTCTTTAAAAAATCGTCATGTCGTATAAGAGTAGCCCAGCAGTAATATAATAATCATTCAAAATGTAACAATGAAAAATCATTATTACTCGTCTCATCAACACAATAATGTTAGTCCATTGAAAAGATAAAATATATGCTAAGTACAGTGTAAATTCAATTAACAGTCCTATACAAACACTTTTCTATATGTACATATGAGACGACAATACTGCTTTGTACACATAACGGTTTGTTGCGACAATATTTTTCATGAGTGTTAGTTAATTTAGATCAAAGTGATCTAATTTAACTAACACTAATGAAAAATAAACATAAAAAAAAAATATAACGTCAAGCAAGGGCATGTTTAGGCTTGGTCTAAGAATACTGATTTTCAGGTGGAAAAGGGATTGTTAGTAGTGGAGTCTTATTAGACTATTACTATTATTATTATTATTAGCCCCATTACTAGCAATATACCCTATCAGGTCGATCTCCACGCGGTTCCCCCTGAAAACTATTATGTTTAATTCTTGTCGAATTCATCATGGTGGGCCAACTAATCTCTAATCTAATCTAATTCATTCTCACCTATCATCTTCCACTGGTGCCTTGATTTTATTAAACTATAGACAAATTATTTAATGGACAATATATATATATATATATATATATATATATATATATATATATATACTTCGATGAGTGAGGTTAACAGATCATATAGAATGATCATAGAGGATTTATCTTGTACACTACTTTATCTTGTACTATGTTACAATACATTGTTATCTACCTATGTATCACAAAATAAATAAATGAAACGAAAATTGTTGACGTGTAATTTTAAATATTTTAATTTAATATCAATCATAACCATGACACGCTTCGCTCTGTGTCTACGCAATGCAGCACTATTCTATGACTGGACATTACAAGCAGAACAAAATTTTCGTATTACTTCTATCAATATTATTATATAGACCATAATACCTTTAGATAGAGCGTAGTATCAAAAAAACGTCCCAAATAAATAAATTTTAAAATTAATTTAATACACAAAACAAATATACTTGTAGTTTGAATAAAAACAAACCCAACTAGGGTTTGGTTAAAAGGTTAATACAATTTATATTACATTTCGAAAACGAGCTATTTAAAGATTTTTTAAATTAATTCCTAAGAAGACTATCTAAGCGTTTATTATCTAAATATAATCTACAAAAGTGTAATATCTGTCTTTAATAAATAGTGCTAAGTTCAACTAACAAATATATCTATAGGTAATAACAATAACGAACTTTCAGATCCTGGTCCTATGCAAGAACTTTTCGCAGCCGGCCGTGGTCAGCACCAGTGACATATCGAGCAGTGACAGCAACAACCACCCGTCCGTCCGACGGCTCCTACCCAACGAATCGCGGACAGCCATGCCCTAGCCTCAAGCAGTGTAAGCTTCGCGCTTACGAGGAAAAAAAAATAAGTTACCTTTATGGTATCCTTCATATTTCGAATACATTTAAATTCGGAATGTTTGTGTGTGTAAAATAAGATGGCGTATACCGCGCATTGGCGAGTTCAAATATAGAAATGGAACATTTTAATGATTGTGACGTAGCAATTTTTTGACTAATAAAATATCCCAAATTTGCCATTCTAATGAAATAAAAATTATACTGAGATTAATAGTAATAACTGGATAAAGTGAATGTTATAAAATATTAGTGTAATGTAGAAATATTAAAATCAAACGAATTAAAAAGTTCATAGTGTCAGAATGGAGTCATAGATCTTTTTAATATTTAAAAAAGTCGTAATTGCTTGTGCGTGTTTAAAATTAACAGTCATAATTAATTTTGTACATAGAATTTTAGTTATTAATAGGTAAGTAGATAAATAGATGTAGACGATATTATTGTGTAGTTTGTTAGATTATGTGGCAGTTTATTTATTTATCACAACATGATGAAAGTTGTGGCTGAGGACATAACTAACAATGCTTTAAACTTAAACCTCATTTTATACATATTTCATTCTGATATTTAATTAAATAATATTTTTTTTATTTATTAATATAAATAATAATGCAGACATTTTATTTTTTATGCAACATTAATTTTATATACAATTAATTTAAACAACAAATACTTTCTACTTAATAATAGGACACATGGATATCTTTTACTATGTATAATGTCCCATTTGTCCACTTAGATTTTTTTTTGTTTTTAACAAATTTGGAAATAACATTCCGTTGTTTATAATTATTTAAAAATAATATACTCTGACTCTAAATAATTTTGTATAAAATTATTTTCGAGTTCCATGTATTATTAATGTGATGTCAATAAATAAGGAAATGTCTACCAGTGAAATTTTCTATTATTTTATTTAGATACGTATGTTAAAAATACACACGGGTAATTAGAAAATTCATTTCTTATTATTATTTACGCATTTAATTACAATTATTTTATTTAAAATAGACAAATATCGAAACTGTTTTTATATAATTTGGGCAAAATATCAGTATAACGAAATTAAAAAAAAAACTCGTTTCTTTACGAAAAGCGTGCGCAATAAACGCAACGCTTATATTTGCTAAAATGACATCAATATTTTAAATTCATTATAAATCAATAATCACCTCAAGCGAGCACTTACTTACACTTAGATTATTTAGTATTAATAGAATGAAGTTCAAGTGTAGGTACAAAAGTCGTGTTAGAAAAATATGTTTCATCTGTCATAAAATAAAAAAAAAATATATGTAATGTTTCGACTTTTTAAATTCATAATGTGTGAAATAAGAATTTTAAATAATTATTTCTAAGTAGAAATACAACTGTGGGGGAAACACTGAGAACAGTATTCGTTGTACAGTACCTGGTCTAGTCGTAAGTTTTATTGTAGTTACAAAATTGTTTAGTATTTTAATAGTAAACATTACATACCCACCTTCTATTTAATATATTATTTATAAATGTAAAATAATATTCTTTCAAACACTATTGTATATAAATTTCATTATTTACATTTTATTAAGTAAAACAAAATTATGTATGGAATATTGAAATAGTTCTGTTTCGAGCGTATCCTGGTTCCCATAACCAGAGGGCTTACCATGAAATATTTACCGAAACTTCAGGGATGAACGAACAAAAATTTGATGTTAAAATTACACAATACATGCCATGCTTATGTAAGTGAAATTAATCACTCACATTAGACTAAGTACATATAGATTTAGACAATTCGTCAATGTAACAGCAAAATATTCTGGTATACTTATTCATTCAACACCGATAGATGGCGTTCTTTTATTTATTTAAAGAATTATATATCAGTCTTAGATATGTTAGCAAACAATTGACTGAACGTTATTTAGAGCGTTTTTTAACACTACGCTCCATCTAATAGTAAATGATTTATATCTAAGGCTCTGATGTATGCACGTTAATGCTGATCTCAGTTCGAGTCACGTTTTATCTTATCAATATGTAGGTGTCTACAGACCAAAGGTGCGTACAAAGAGCGTATATACAAAGCCATTAAGAAGTGAAATAAAACTGTATGTAGCTACAAAAGCACATTTTTTATGTACGTCTCTATGGTTTGAAATCCTCGACACTTTATTTGTAGTTTTATGTTTAAAATTAATGCAAAAACACTAATAGTTTACAACAATTGTCAATTATTATATTTATTATACAAAAAGATAACACCACTATTTGTACAAACTAAAATGCCATTATTTTCGATACCAATTTTGCGGGAACTGAAGAACGAATAACTCGTCTTTTAGGATGCACGGAACTCAATTTACACTTGTTTATGTTTATTTTTACTTAATAAAATGTAATCTTTACTCAATCTGAGACATTGACATTCCTTCGCATTTAACGTACTACTTTAGATATACTTTTTTATTGCGGCCTCTTTGTAAATAATATGTTAAAGATGCGTCTGTAAAACTTGTTCTGTCTGCGAATTTTGAATAAATTTATGGACAGCTATTTTTGTTTTTTTTTTTTATTTATCCTATAAGATCCTTCGTCACTTCGAACAAAATACATTTATATGAAATCTATGCAACCAGTTCGTTGAATTAGAAAATTTTATATTATGAAGTAGTTAGGTCCTTTATGATATCTATTGATACTGATATCTTGAACAAAGACATTCATATATAGTTGTATAACAGAATAATTATGAATTTATTTATGTGTTGACGCTTCTAAAATGTTACATAAATTCATTCTCCCTATTTCATCTAAATATGGACAGTGCGGACTATTAAATAACGTCGTGATTACTCGCTCAATACAAACAACTTAAAAAACCATAGACAAAGAAGCTTGAGCACTATGTTTTGGCAGTAAATTTGTTACTATATAGGACACATCGTATTAAGATTTCATTCACGTTACTGTAGAAAAAATTAAAAGATTTCAATATCTTTAGAAAAGAACGTAATTAGAGAATTCTAGTGTAATGCCTTGTCAAAGATTCCCCTGTTTTTCTTAATACCTTCTTCAGGTCAGACCCATAAATCGATTCTGAGTCGCCAACTAATTTATATCTAAAACCAAAACGTCAGTTTGATAATTCAGTGTATCATATATATAACCTAGACAGAAACAGCGTTAGGGATAACACATAGCCCCGCGGGACGCCAGCGTTAATATACATGCTATCGGAACAGCAACCACCTACAACAGTTTTTATGCAACCAACCAACCAACCAACCCATTTACACAGGCTGTGGGGAAGTCCATAGCAGGGTAATTTCGATAGAATCGCTTCAGTAATCCTAGGATCAGAGTTAGTGCGAGCCGTAGTCCAAGCCTATATATATATATATATATATATATATATATATATATATATATATATATATATATATATATATATATATATATAGTTAGCTAGCGAAATAACTCCTATACAAAACAAAACAAAAGATAACCCTTCCAAACCATAGCAACCTGCATAATGTATTACTAACGCTCTGATATAAGTAACAAATTAGACACAAATAATAAATATTTATTGGTCATAAATTTAAAAAGCAATTATGTTACTATGTTATATATTATTATTTTTATTTCGATTATACTATATAAGAACAAATGAAAATTGTAATTTAGATGGTACAAACATTATTTACATACAACTATGCACGCTACATTGAAATTTATTTAAATACATTATTTATTTTTATAAAAGAAAAAAATACAGAACAAATAAATGTACATATTTCTTTATACGAGTGACTTGCTCCAAATTCATACAACGATAGCTAGGTAAATAGACGATTTTTAATTTTTTATATATAATATATTATTCTCTGTTAATATAGTTTTATATTGGTGAAAGAATTTTTAAATTAAATATCTTTTGTGTTTATCCATTGCAAACAAGAAATAAAATATTTCATACATACATACATATCTGTCCCGTCTCCCATTAGGGTAGGCAGAAACAATTGAACGCCAAATGCTTTGATTACATATCTATCACACCTGTCTCCCTTTAGGGTAGGCAGAAACAATGGAATGCCAAATGCTTCAATTCAAACAAACCTCTTTCGCTTATTCCACATTCATCAATCTTTTCATACACGCTCGCCGGTTACGGGTACTTTTAATTTGGCCCTTCTTCAGCACGTCGCCTATTTGGTCGACATACGTCCGTCTGCGCTACCGACATATGCTAGTCGGCCCCCACCGACGTCTGCATTCATTCTTACTCGATAAATCTCTTTCGTAATTCTTCTTTCATCCATCCTCTCCAAATGGCCAAACTAACGCAACATTCTCTTTTCGATTTTTGTCACTACATCATCTTTTAGTCCACACTTCTCGCTAATCACACTGTTTACTAATAGAGATTAGTTGTTACAATATAAATAGGTAAGTGCATAAGACATATGACACCCCATAGGAGCACCGCAATTTACATAAATAGAACCATGTGTTTTGCATATAGATCTAAAATATACTCATAGTGCAATAAGATAATCACGAACATTTGCACAGGTCTCGTGACTATCCACGCCCACAAACTCAGCCTTCTTTGTTGCATGCAGATCGTTGCAATAAATCTTCTGATAAAAATACATTTAATAAACCGAATGTTGCACAAATCTAGACGGGCTACGTCTACGCCCACGCAAGAAGTAAAGGAAATCTCTGAATTATGTCTCAAAGAGATAATATTCATGATATTTTCATTGAAATAACGCCTTTGTATATCTGTAGAGATGCATTACTTCCATCTTTTCTTAATTTAATTGCAATGCCAATCAAGCCTACCTGATATTTTATCAGAGACAACAGAGAGTAGACAATATTTCTATATTAATTAATGTTCTTTTATTGTTATTTAATGTTCTTTTATTCTATTCTTAGAATAAAATAACATTGAATTCAAATTTAAAACGTCTTTATTCAAAATTAGCGGCCCGTCCCGGCGTCGCACAGGTGGTCATTTTTACATTTTAAAAAGTGTCCATTAAGGCTGCACACGCGACGGAAGCTTGAAAATGGAGTAACTTCTCCCGTTTTCCCAAGATTTCCCTTCACTGCTCTGCTCCTATTGATCGTAGCGTGATGAAAAGTATACCATAACCTGCTCAGTAGTATGAAGAATAATTGTACCAAGTTTCGTTAAATTCCGTCGAATAGTTTCTATAACGGACATACGGACAGACATAAAAATTTTACTGATTGCATTTTTGGCATCAGTATCGATCACTAATAATTATTTTGGAAATATATTTCATGTACAGAATTGACCTCTCTACAGATTTATTATAAGTATAGAAGATATGGTAGACTTGTTAACAAGCAGTTTTATTTTATGGATACCACTTTCCATCAAGTGGGCCGTCAGCTTGTTTCTCATTCTAAGTTGCATAAAAAAATCCCAAGGCCTAACTGCGGTTGCCAGTCCGCCTGGCAAGTGTGGCAAGTACTGACAAAACCCCCAAGAGGGAGACATGTTCAGCAGTGGCCAGCTAAACATTGATATGATGACGATAATCGTTTAGCATATACCAATAGAGCAGACGGGGGGAAAGGAATTGTTAGCAATGGAGTTTGACAGCCCCATTGCTAGCAATATATTGCCCTATTAGGTCGACCTCCACGTGGTTCCCCTGGAAACCATCGTGAACAATTCATGTTGAATTCGTCACGATGGGCCAACTGACCTGCTTCATCCTCACCTATCATTCTTCACTGGTGCTCCGCCAGCGTATCCCGATAGTGCAGGCGGGGTTACCATTCCATTATCACCTATTAAAAAAAAATAGAGCAGACGGAGTGACAATGTCATTATTATCCATTTAAAAAAACTATAGATACTAAAATGTACTCTTTTTATCTAAGAACATGGTAAGTAGATACTCGTATTTAACTAGGCAAGTCACGCAAAACCATCGGCAGTAAAAGTAACCTTTTTAAAACATTAAACCTGATACCACCATGATCGCCAACCGGGTGGTATAATGCTACGTAACATCGAATTTGACGATTATTGTATCCTCTTCCCGCCTTCCGATAACAGATTAGAATCTTTTTTTTTTTATTACAGCACGAGTTGATCAGACCACCATTTATACAGGATTTAGAACTTTGGTTGTTCTAATCGTTTCTATGTGCCAACTGTAGGGGGGAAAGGGATTGTTAGCAATGGAGTTTGACAGCGCCATTACTAGCAATATGCCCTATTAGGTCAACCTCCACGTGGTTCCCCCTGGAAACCATCGTGAACAATTCTTGTTGAATTCGTCACGATGGGCTAACTGACCTGCTTCATCCTCACCAATCATCCTTCACTGGTGCCCCGCCGGTGTATACCGATGACGCGGGGTTACCATTTCATTATCACCCATAAAAAAAAGTGCCAGCTGTAAGTACACTTACAGCCAACCAACACATAGTGAGATCACAGATCGTGTGACCCCATGGCCTGTTTATTTTCCCCTTTATAAAATAACTGCGTTAATTGCATCACTAAATGCACCGGCATTCATAAATGAAACTCCAACCAAACAGAACTTTATATCTGTAGATATAAGAAACTAGAAATTAATCTAAGAGTTTGCTAAAGAAAAAGTTAGAACAACCAAAGGCGAAGCGAGGAAGCGTACAATTAATACTTATTATTCGAAATCAGAGTGATTTGATTAAATTATGACCCTTGTGAATTCAGACTACGTGAATTGGTGTTAAGTCTTTGGTGTACCTTTTCACTAGGATTGGAAACTTGGGAGTAAATAAATGTAACTTTAATTCCTAAATATATACATATATTAGGCATTAAAGTTACATGTATTTACTCACTATTATTTACAACAGAATATCAGTGCTTTGCTCTTTTGAGGTCGAAGCAATAAACTGAGTTGTGACCATTTTGTATTGTTATAGCACACGTACAAAAGGAAAAATTGTACTTGGCTTTACGTATTTTTTTTTATAATTTCTTTTATCTCCCTTTTTATGTATAATTTGTGTGCTTTTTTTTTTATGGGTGAAAATGGTATGGTAACCCCGCCTGCGCTAACGAGATACACTGGCGGAGCACCAGTGAAGGGTGATAGATGAGAATGAAAACAGGCCAGTTAGCCCATCATGATGAATTCATCAGGAATTGACCAAGATAGTTTCCAGGAAGAACCGCGAGGAGGTCGACCTGGTTGGGTATATTGCTAGCAATAAGATTCTCAGTCTCCATTACTAACAATCCCTTTCCCCCCGGTAGCTTCAATTTCGAACCTCCTTTTTAAAATCGGTTCGAATCTAATTAGGATTTCTAAACGAAGAAAAAATATTGGTAAAATACAGGCAAGCAGCACAAGCGCGTAAGACGACAAAAGTGCATAAATATCCTTAATTCCCGATAAAGCCGCCGATACAGCTGAGTTATTTGACAGTCGCGACTCGTCGCTATGGCAACACTGTTTGCCGGACAAGCGCGCGCAGAATAAAAATTACAATACACAAACGTT